CTGTCTGTCTGTCTGTCTGTCTGTCTGCCTGTCTGTCTGTCTGTCTATCTATCTATCTATCTATCTATCTATCTATCTATCTACCTACCTGTCTATCTGTCTGTCTGTCTGTCTGTCTATCTATATTTTACAGTCTTCATTTTAGGACTTTAAAACCCTAGAAGAAATATCAAAATTAATTTGAATTTAGTGGAAAACATTTTCCTCATAGAAGACGTGTATTTAAGTCATTGTTTTTATGAATTATATTTTTTTAAATAACATAATAAATTTGGACAAAAATGAGTATGATGTAATCAAACTGTTTATACTGTATACTTCTTATACTATTCAAGGAAAAATCAACCTAGGAATAGCTTTCTCACAGTGCGCACATTAATCTTGGACAGGGGGAAGTGTTTTAACATTTTTGCTGTTGTATCGTAACAAAAATACCAAAAATCTTCCTAAATGATACGGTGTTTGTTGACTCACAGCTGAGGTGATATTGGTCGTCTCTCTCCAGTGGAATCTAAGGCTTGCGGTTTGGGAGTTATTAATAACTTCATACACAATGACTCCTTTGGCACACACTCCCAGCAGCAGCTCTCCGAACACGGGCTTCTTCTCACGGGCCGCGCGGTGAAACAGCACGCCGTACTCCGGAAGCTGCTGGATGCTCTGTGGAGGAGTTAGGCAGCGCTGCCAAGTCATTTGGACAGATTATGTGATGCAGGACACCCACCAGCCATCATCGCATCCAGAAAAGCTGTTCAGACCTAATGGAGTCTGTAAAAATATCTGGCCTGCAGCCCGTACAGTCATTATGGGTTTGAATAAATGCAAGATGTCAAGATGAAAAGCAGTTTGTCACATGCAGCATGAACAAATGCAGCTGTCACATTTTCCATCCTTCTCATTCTTTATTTTCACTCAAAAATGTGGCCCCAAAAATAATTTGGACACTTAAGTCACACTTAAAAATGTCTGAAATTCATTGCATTAGAAGTTCAAATATCAAGAACTGCCTTCATTGACTCCAAATTGTTATTTGAAAGTAAGATCTTAAAATAAAAAAAATGTAAGCATATTTCATTTCAGTTAGTTGCCAAGGCAACATGTCTTATTTAAATTTAGTTTAACTTGACATACTAAAATAACTAAAACTAAAACGGAAATATGTAGAAAATAAGTATATATATATATTTACTTATTTATTTTCTACATATTTCAGTTTTAGTTATTTTAGTATGTCAAGTTAAACTAAATGTACTAAACTAAACTAGCTTTTATTAATTTTTAAAGTACTTTTTATTTTTCCATTTTCCCTTTTTTTTTTTTTTTTAAATTAAAATTTTAGAACTTTAGTTAAACTTTTATTAATTGTATATTTTTGTAATATATATATATATATATATATATATATTACAAAAATATACAATTATTAAAAGTTAATTTAAAATAGATAATGTAAAAATAAAAAGTACTTTAAAAAGTTAAATAAAAGCTAGTTCTCACCTAGGAAACTTGTTACAACATCTCATGAGGTTTTTGAGTCAAATGTCTAATTATGCAAAAGTGTGTTTTCTCTAGCTTTAAACTCTATCAAATTATTATTATTATTTTTGTATGAATTTTGTCCTCTTTTTGCTGTAGCTGTTAGATAACACAAGTGAACACAATAAAACCACAATGATATACACTTAGAAAAGTAGATTTAAACTCAAAAGTTAAACTGTACTCTCAAGATGAAGTACTTTTTTATGTCATGTTTTCACATTTTATCATGTTTAATGTTGCTGTATGTTACCTCTTGCAGTTTTATTGTTTCATAAATGCTTTCCCGTTTTAACTGAATTGAAAAGCCTAATAGGCTGTTTAATGGCTGGTTCCATTGTGACAACTTGCCCCATATTATGTGACAACATGCCCCTTTGTAATAATGAGGATTCTTAGGGTTAAATGTTGAATAGAAATGTTCACTAGAGTAAAATGTGTAACAGCTAACACCGGCCTGCCCTACATACTTCATATGAAAAAGTAAAATGAAATGATGATGGCATTTAATGACATACTGTGTGTGCTGTCAGTAAACACAGAAGTGAATGTAACCTTGAGAAACTCGAGCTCGGCCTCCTCTGCACTCATGTTTGCATTGTTGGCGTGTAACCGTAGCAACTCTTGTTTCAGGCAAGGCATTGCCATTTTCTGCAAAACACTCTTGGAAACGTAATGCTCAGGCTGATAGTAGTTCTTCCCCCAGACCTGCAGAAGACACAGAAAACAGTGTTTTAGTCTTTCCAACCCAAGTATACACTCATACATGTTACATTAAATTAGTTCATTACATAACCATCTAGCATCTGCTTCATAGAAATTTGACCTGATACGTTCTCAATGCTTCCTGAAGACGTAATATTATTTATTTTTATCTTCTCTGGCACCATTTAAAGGTGTGACATCACTGCACAGATATAGAGACTAAAGCACACACGTATTTATGACTGTAACACTGAGAATAAATCATAGAAATGCCATCATGTCATTTTTGGTTAATATTGTTAACTAAAATCAGAAATCAAAAAATCAGAAACTGATACAAAATACTTTAACATAATATACAATAATAACGTTTAAAAAACATTTTCATTATCTGAAAAAATAAAAAATATATATATAATAAAATTGTAAACAAACTCAGCTGACACACTGACAAAATTATTCATCAAAATCAGAAATATATATTACATAAAAAATACAAATCAAATTATATAAATAAAAAATATATATATTTTATAAAATATTAAAGTATTATAAAATATTATAAAATATTAAAAATTGAAAACTTATTTTATTTCAGCTAGTTGCCAAGGCAACAGTTCTTAATTTCATTTAGTTTAAGCTGATGGACTAAATTAGCTAAAACTTAAAACTAAAACAAATAAAAACTATAAAGATATATAAAAAAGCAAAAAATATAATTAAAATTTAAAAAATTACAAATTAATAAAAAAAGACAAAAACATACAACCTGACCTTAATTAAAAGAAAACAGAAAATATAAAACTAAAATCTTATTCACTATAATGATATATCTCAGTGATACCTCAGGCATACTGTCCCCAAACTCGGCTTGAAGAGCCAAGGCACCAAGAAACAAGCAGGTCTCCTCATTACAGGGAAGACGATCGTCCAGAATGTCCCGTCTCAGCTGGAGATAGTACTGATGACGGGTCAGCTTGTGTCTGCCGCCATGAAGGGCAAAGTTAGACAACAGTGACAGATAGAAACACACCATTAAATGAGGGAAAGGAAGAGACTTACAGAAGAACAGAGACGTCATTCACAAAATATCTGATGCGGAAATGAAGCACAAATGTGGCAGAGGGCACTTTTTTCCAGGCGCCAGGAGCAACTTTGGATATTTTTGTGTCATTGTCAAGAAAGAAAAATTCATTATCTGAAAAAGAGAAAAAAATACTATAAATTATAAACAAAAGCATCCTTCACACTGACCAAATTAGTCATCAATATGACAATTAGAAATACTAAACATTATATATTAAAGGGGTCATATGATGCTTTTTTAAAGATCATTATTTGACTCCTCCCCTCCAACCACCATCCCGATCTCCCACTTTTCACAATCCAAGTAAGTAAAAGGACTTGTGGATGTTGATTCTTAACATATGCAGGCATGCCTGATGTTGAAGGGATGAGTTGAGAGCTGCTGACCTGCTGAAGTCTGCTGGTGACGGTGTGCTGTTCCCTTTAAATGGCCAGACAGAGTTCTGACGGGACGCACCTAATGCAGACCAAGAGGGTTAAACTACAATGTATTTCATGGATCTTTATTTTAAGAGTAATGCCACTTTGTGAGGTTATTCTTAAAAATTCAGTCGATCAAAAAATGAATTTTGAGAAACATACCTCGAAGTCTTTCTCTAACCATCTGGCTTCGGTCTGTAAGATGAGCAGAATCATTTGGGTTTCTTTCAGCCTAGAAAACAAAAATAATACTCTGTTGCTGTTAAAGTGGACATAGGATGCCCATTTTCCACAAGTTGGTGTGATTCTTTAAGGTCTTCATGAAATGTCTGTAACATACTTTGGTTAGAATTCCTCAATGGTCGTGTAAAACAACTTGTCAAGAACAGCTCTGTTCACAGTGACCCGTTTCGGTGCATGTCTCTTTAAATGTTAATGAGCTAATGTTGTAGTTGTGCTATGTTCACTTTTACATCAAACTACAAAACACCTGCATTGCTCACGAGACCTTGTTGTTGCTACAGCTGCTCGAGCGCCGAGAAAACTGATGAGGGCGGAGATATGCTAGCATGCTACCGTGGGCGGGGCTTGAGCAGTGTGACATCATACTGCTCAGAAAATCAAAACGGCTTGATAATTGTGACTGTTTAGGTTTATTGGGGATTTTAAAAAGGGAGTGAATGGATTTTTGTCATTGTAGGCTGGTTGCACACACTGCTAAGACACATTTATATGCAAACCATGCACCATGTAAAAGTGAATTTTGCATCCGATGTCCCCTTTAAGTAAATATGTCAGATCCATATTCAAGGTGAAAACTGCCTAAAGTGTTGAAAGTTTGAACATTTACAATGTTGTTTAAAAGTTGTGAATAAAACAAAGATTACTGGAGTATGTTTTACAAGAAAATTATACTATTTCAGTCTTTCTACTAAATGTTTAATGCAGTGTGTTAAGTGTAATTATTGTGTTAAATAATGTTTGCGTTCATGAAGTTCCAAATAAAAAAATAAATAAATTAGATGAATTACTAGATTCACTGGATTATCCAAAATAGACAGTAATGACTATTTAATGTTGATTGAATGAAATAACAAACAAACAAACAAATTAATTAATTTTCATTTGGAAAAAAAAAACAATTATTCTATACTAAGATAATTTAATTCACTGTATTATCAAGAACTTAAAAAAATTATTTTAAATGTATTTATAAAAACTATTATTATCTAAATTTATACGCAAAAAAAATACTCAAAAGCACTTATTTAACACCATTTCTTTGCACTTATTTATGAAGTTTACTGGCAATTTCTGACTGAAAACTGTTTGAAAATAAATCCTACACCAGTTTATTTTCAGTGTAGCTGACTATTACAAACACTAAAATATGTAAGATACACAGAACTGAGTCTTTTAGTGAACCTACAGTGAGAGATTGTTGTATTAGTTTCAGTGCTGGTAATGTTTTTTTTTTTTTTTAAACCACAATTAAGTGTTACCAAATGTGACCCTGGAGCACAAAAGCAGTTTTAAGTCGCTGGGGTATATTTGTAGCAATAGCCAAAAAATACACTGTATGGGTCAAAATGATAGATTTTTCTTTTATGCCAAAAATCATTAGGATATTAAGTAAAGATCATGTTCCATGAAGATATTTAGTAAATTTCCTACCGTAAATATATCAGAACTTCATTTTTGATTAGTAATATGCATTGCTAAGAACTTCATTTGGACAACTTTAAAGGCGATTTTCTCAATATTTAGATTTTTTTTGCAACCTCAGATTCTAGATTTTCAAATAGTTGTATCTCAGCCAAATATTGTCCTATGATAACAAATTTACGTACCTTATTTATTCAGCTTTCAGATGATGTATAAATCTCAATTTCGAAAAATTGACACTTAAGACTGGTTTTGTGGTCCAGGGTCACATATGGTAAAATGACTAACCACCCAGCTCCCAGTTACCTGCAGAACATCCTCTGCCATCTGTCTGATGGCTTTCTGTGGCCGGGGCAGGACGGTGGTCTTATGGTGTTGTTCACATGTCTCCAGCACTGTCAGCAGGTTCACCCGTTTGTGAGCCACATCCTCGCACATGCTCAGTAAAAGACTGTTCAGGCTGTCGCTGAGCCGGATGGGCTGTCGGGAGACGAGGTGCAATAAGTCTTCAATTTACACTTGTTAAAGGTGCACTAACTGTAGGCTTAGCTGGTTTTGACCACTGACAAATGTAAATGCTGATTTAATTTGTTTAAAAAAACTTTAAGGGGGATTCTTATCATCCAATAAGGAACAAAAAGTGTTCAATTTTATTTGATGTTGACTTTAACCCTCTGTCACTCCATTCTTGTGACTAATAACATAAACATTAAAATATAATAAAATAAAATACAAAAATACCTAAACTTTTTTTTTCAGCTAGTAGCCAAAGCAACATTTCTCATTTTCACTTAAACTGATGTACTATTTAACTAAATAACTAAAACTGAAATAAAATGAATAAAAAAAAATAAATAAATAAATTAAAAAAAAATATATATATATAGTTTTTTTTATATATATATATAAAAACATAAAATGACTAAAATACAAGAAAAATTACTAAAAGCAAAATTAATGGAAAATGGAGACAAAAATGCGAAATATAAACACTGTTTCAAAATATTAATAAAACTGTAACAGTATCTCAGTGATAATAAAATAACACTGTTCACCTCTAAATTATGCAGCATTTATGTCTACAAAACATAATACAAATATTGGGGGAAAAAATATTTTCAATTTATATTTGCAATCCAATGATCAAATAATTTATTTTCGTAGTTATTTTTATATTTAGACATTATCAAATACCTAATTCTGGCTGATCTGGAGATTGTACCCCAAAAAATTGCTCTATATTTTCATATTTTTGTATTGCAATCATTTTTGACCGTGAAGATGTTTTTTTTTTGTAAAGAAAACATACAGTTAATTGAAGAGGAACTCACCTGATTTTGTGGAAGATGATAATCTACTGTCCAATAGAGAGTCATGCCTAGTGAGTAAACCACCATCTAAAATCAGAGCAAATAAATGCTACATTTTGTCTTGATTTGCCATAAACCACGTTTGGAAAGCTTATCTTTTTAAGACACTCACCACTGCTTCTCTCAACCTTCAGCGGGAAGGTCAGGCTGAAAACTGTCTACAATAATTGGAGGTCAGCTTACCTTCTCCGTGGCCTGTCTTCTGAAGGAAGGGTTGCTCTGTGACATTTCCGGGGAAGCGAATGAGCTCATGTCCTCAGCTCGTCCGCAGCTCTTGAAGGCAATACTGCCGACTGCAGAAAGGAGCATGGAGCCGGGACTGATGACACAGCACATGTTACCAGGATCTGGATGAAGGGAGGGAGATGAAATGGTGACAGATTATGTTGGCAATCAAGGATAAGTGCATGAAAAGAGTTGAAAGATCTCTCTACCTTTACTGGAGATGGAGATCAAGGTTTCTGCAGCACCGAGGAGGAGAGCCCAGACCTCGTCCTCCTCCAGAGGAGCTCCCCGTGACTCCAGCACCTCCGCCAGCGTCACAAATGTGCTCATTCTGTCAGCCACAAGACACGCACATCACACAGTTGCATGAAAAATTATGTGAACCTTTGGACTTCATAGCTTCACCGAAAAATAAGATTTTGCTGAAAATGTACTCTGGCCATCCAAGATGTAGATGAGTTTGTTTCTTCATCAGATTTGGAGAAATGCAGCATTGCATCAGTGTCTCAGCAATGGATGCTCTGCAGTGAATGGGTGCCGTCAGAATGAGAGTCCAAACAGCTGATAAAAACATCACAATAATCCACAAGTAATCCACAGCACTCCAGTCCATCAGCTAACATCTTGTGAAGCCAAAAGCTGCGTGTTTGTAAGAAAGCAATCCATTATAAAGGTGTTTAAATCCATAATCCATAATAACAGTGAAAAAGTCCATCTCCTGTTGTTTCTCACATCAAAATCCATGCACCTTCATATTTGTTTAGAGCTGTTTTGGCTTGTAAACGGTGCTTGATCTGTGCAGATTTCTCTCCTGATTCAGACAAAACAGCTTTTTCACTGGAGAAAGCAACATTATTGTGGACTCGTATATTGTCCGGAAGCAACATTTTGAAGTTAAAAACGTCTTGATGGATTTGTTTCAGCTTTTCACTTCACAAGACATTAACTGATGGACTGGAGTGCTGTGGATTACTTGTGGATTATTGTGATGTTTTTATCAGCTGTTTGGACTCTCATTATGACGACACCCATTCACTGCAGAGCATCCATTGCTGAGACACAAACTTATCAACATCTTACATGGCCTGAGGTTGAGCACAATTGTAGCAAATTTAGATTTTTTTGAGTGAACTATTCTTTTAACTTTTTGAGACGTCATTAGCCTAGGGATTCACAATTTCTTTCCTCCCCGCACCGTAAATGTTACACTGTTTGTTCACATATTATTGTGTTTTACTTGTTTAAGCAGACTATATTTGTATTGTTGTGGCTTACTTGAAGATCAGATCCAATTTTATGACCATTTTATGCAGAAATCCATGGTTTAGGTTTTCTAAAGTCTCGACTTATTTGAGTAGCTGACACAAAAGAAGATATTTTAAAGAATTGTCAAACAGTCAATGGGGTCTAAAACAACACTGAACTCCATGTATTGACAAAAAAAAAAGAGAGATGTTTTTTTTCTAAGTATCTTCTTTTTGTGTCTCACAGAAGAAACAAAGTCTTACATGTTTGGAACGACATGAAGGTGAGTAAATGAATGCATTTGCGTAGATTGGCAAGCTATAATTAGCTAAAGTACAGTCTCCAGCACACCTCTTTAATTAATTACCTCTTTAATTACCTGTTAAATGGGGGAACTACCTTGCATAGCACGTAAGAGCCTAACTAACAGAACTAAACACTACACATTTTCTGTGCTTCATGTCAGTCTCGTTTTCACACAGTTGCATTCAAGCCTGGTGGATTCTAAAGTCAAAACACCATAAAAGAGCAAAATTAAGATGAAGCTTTCATTGAACTGGAATGCTGTTTTATATGTTACAATTTCCTCCACAAGAATGAATGGGGCAGTAGGTTTTTCCAGTTGCACGCAGTCTCAAAGAAAGGTTGATCGGTTCATCTTGTGCTGGAGTAATTAACCCTCAACCTGGCTTGCAAAGGTTCCATCGAAATATTTTCAAGATTACTTTAAAGCATTTTATTCTACTACATAAATTCAATATACGTATATAGTGATTTGAATATATTTATATTTGCATTTATGCAGCAAAATGTCCCTGTTAACTCTATAGTGGATTATCATGACTTTTGTCCCTCATGACTGTCACTATCCTTGAGTCACTGGTCTTTCTATTACAACAAAACCCTTATATGTTGAAAAGAGTCATATGTAATACTATTTTTAATGCAGAGGATATTATGAACACCATGTATGAATAGGCAAAACACTGTAAACTTCATTACAGCGCCTGTCATTAATGGCATAACTGGATCTATGTACAGTAGGTTTAAAAATGTTTGCTAAGGGAAAATAAATATAAATTTATTTTTTTTACTAATGGCCATGCCATTCTAAAGGTCTTATATATTGAAGAATAATGCTTCCCACATCTCTGTGTTTTAAGACATTGACTATGTAAAGTTCAAGGATAAGTTGTAAAGCACGTTTACCTTTCTACGTTCGATATACGCAGAGTTGTCCTCCGGATATCTTCAGCTCAGCATAAATCCTCTCAAGCATCTTGCTCTGTGCCTCGCTCTTACATACTGACAAATACACTACTTGTATAATTATCAATATCACCGGCTACACCGTTATTTTCTGGGAATATCCTCCATTGAAATGCTGTTGCTGCTGTGTTTTGGCTTAATTAGTCCTATTCTTAGAGTCCAGCCATAAGAACTCAATTGGATTAGAGCAAAGGTTTGACAGGTCAGTGGGCGACCAATCAGTGTGTCCAAACTCCCCACCAGGCCTCCACTAATCTCACTCAATAGATGTGAGGTGTGATTTCACCACTGTCCAGTACAGTATATTCTTATGATGCCATTACATGATGCATTCTGGAAATGTTATATCTAGTTAAAAAGTTTCAAAAAGATCCCTCGTATGTTTTCATTTTGTCAAATGAATTACTAAATTATTGTAATCAGCACTTACTCACTAAAGAAATAATAATCTTGCTCTTTTGTAACCCTTTTGCCCTTGACCTTTTGTCAAAAGGTGATATAGCAGAAACGCAGAAAAGTTCATGCATCGTCATATGGCATCATCATACTAAACATGAGCTGTTGATTAAATGCACAATTTTAAAAGCATAACAATAAGTATTTGGATGCAAGAGTTTGAGATATTAAAAAGCATACACCCAAAATAAGTATAATTGTAATTTTTACCAATTTGTGTCGATGCCCATATTTAAATTTTACCTTATGCTTATCATTTTTCTAACACATGTGAATAAATTCTATAAGACCTTGCTGATACACAAGGCTGAACGTGTTATATAAAGTAAAAATAAAAAAAAATGTAAAAAAAAATGTGTGTGTGTGTGTGTGTGTATATATATATATATATCTAAAATGTATTTAAATTAGCCCATATTTAATTAGATAGTCTCGTTTGCATACTTATTTCAGATAATTCGTAATACAAAACAATTGTCTTATTGTAAGTAATGTAATTAAAATACCCCATTCACTCTTGGAGTCTTGTTGGTTTTTGAAGTTAAAATCTTGATATACTGTGTCATTCCGTTCTGTTGTTGGTGAACACATTTGTTTCTGTGATGTAACAGTAAAAGAAAGCCTAACTATAAGCGATTCTTCTCAATAATAAGCAACGCGACGTCGGGCAAAACGCAGAAACTGCACACGTCACGTCCACGCAGAGACTCAGTGACGTAGTACGCAAGTGTCCGCACTCCGCAGCTCAAGGCCTGCCAGTGGACGGAAGCACACAGTGAGCGCAGAGCTTGTGTCTTCAACTGGAGAACAAGACGAATACAACATACTGCTGAGCTCAGTGTGAAGACGCCAGAGCTTTTCTAAACCTGCTCTGTGTCTTCTAAGAGGGTGAGTAAACAGCAGTTTACCCGCTGATGTTTTAAGGTGGGTTGTGGGGGAGGGTAACGCTGGTTTGTTGCTGTAATACACCTCAGTAAACACTCGCTGGTTTAAACTGGTTATTTGGTGGAATAAACATCTTGGTGTGTTCTTTGACTTAGTGGACATCATTGTGTTTTACAGTATTGTACATATCGATATGGCACATGGGCTGATACTGGTACCGTGGTACATTAATGGTGTATTAGTACTGTGGTACTCCGATATATACCATGGTACTGTATGTTTACCACATGCTGATTAATATATTATGATATATACATGGTATTTTAAAGAATACCACGGTGTTTATGGTATGTAAATCTACTCTTTAGTCATTCTGCAGGTGACCTGATGTGTAAGGTTGAGATCCACGTCTAACATTGGCTGTGTCTCAAATCTTAGTGAGCTTCCCACCTTGACAGACAGCATTGTGTGTGATGCTCAAACATGCCGTCTGTGTAGGGAAGCTCCTTGAGTTTTGAGAGCCGTTTGTGTCCATGCATAACTCCCTGTGCTCTGATCGTACAGATAGTCTTTCACTGCATAGACCGGGTTGATTTGATTTGGATTAAGTGTGATGGACTCGATGGAGGTTATGGAGAGAAATTGAGGTCTTTGGTTGTGGATGGTGCTGTGAGATGTTGAATTCAGGGCATTCGGGTGCGGTTCTCCATATTATTTTAGGAGATGATTGACACTTTCCATTCACATTGATGTTAAAGAATGCAATATCTGAAGTTTGAATTAAAATGTAATTAATTGCAAAGTCCTGATCCCTCAAGTATGGACCATTAAACAGTGTGCTGAAATAATCGATAATAAAAATAATCGGCAACAAATTTGATTATTGATTAATTAATAATCGATAAATTGACCAGTAGTGAATAAAATATTTATATGGACAAAATGCACCTGAAAAATAGTGGAGGACACAGACTGAGTGGTAGAAGTTAACATTTAGTCTGGTAATCTTAAACACTAGTTAACATTTAGTCTGGGCTTCAAATATATATATATATATATATATATAAATCTGATGTAATTTAATGATTTACAATTGTGAATTGAATTGTCTTCTACAGATTTACAGTCATACTGTATGCAATAATGCTTTTAGGTTAAAATAAACCAGAGTTCTTGCACTTTTGACTCATTTGTCAAAGACACTGTACTGTTGATATGCCTTGCGTGAAAACAATCACATGAACGCACAACATGAACATGTTAGATCGAGACGCCACGCCAGATAATTAAGATCCAGCCCCGGACGCCAGATCCTGTCAGAAAATATCTGTTTTGTCTAATAACAGAACAACTTGTCGGCAGAGCTGCCGATACCCAAAACCTGTTAACAGCAAGTCTTGTCTGGTACCGACTAGTGCTGGGCAGTATACCGGTTCATACCGAATACCGGTGTTTATTTTTGTTATGATATGAATTTTTGAATTTCGCTTAAACAACGTTCGGAATGTGTATATTGTTTGAAAAGGGGTCTCTTTTCACTGTTGCACTGTGGTGAGGGAACAGCTGTATGTGTTACTAAGCGTGAAAGTTCCGAAACTGAAGCTGTAGAACTAATAGAACGTGATGACACAGAAGAACTCATCCACAATATCCACATTGACCGCCACAAATATCCACCGCCCCCTGCCATCAGCTCACGCGTCTCTCACACACACACACGCACACACACACACACACACGAGTGCGACTTTAGCACTAGATTTAGCAACTTCAGACCCTTTTAGCGGCTTTTTTCCATAGAATATTCATACTAACAAACCTAGCGACTTTTTGGGATAAACCTTAGCTATGGTTCAGTTGGAAGATGTCGCCAGTGCTGTCCCGCGAGCACTAGGTCTGACTTTCCCGGAGAAGTGTCACCTCTCTCGGCGTCTGTTCTGTGCAGTGAGCGGCAGAGAAGCACCGCAGCCGACTCGTCAATAAATGAGTACAAAACAGCGTTTCCTAGCACCTGTCGCTTACTGATTGTTTGGAATTATAAATATGAGCGTAGTTAATATCACATGCACTTTTTAGTTTGTTGTT